GTATACCTCACTTATACGTCCCCAGCAGAGTCGCCAGTTCTGTGATACGGTGGCAGAATCGACTGTTTGATACTGGTTTGCGTTTTTTGTTCGCAAAATGTCGCGGTAAGCAAGAGTCGCCACCAACTTTTATTTTATCCAACCGGAAAGGAAAAAAGTTCAGAAAAAAAAATCCTTTTTCGAGATGTTTCTGAGTACGAGGGGTAGATTATAGAAAGGGGAGGTGTTAGCACCCTTTCTATCCATGGTTTTCCATGGGCTCTTAGGTACTTGCTCATTTTTAAATTGCTTGTGTGTGCTTTGTTTTTAAAAACTTTGACTTCATGATAACTCTTGTATCAGTCCTCAAAGGTGTGACGAAGTTGTTTTGAAAGTTTGTTTTAAAAAAGTGTAAGTGTGAAAAGTTTTGATTTGAGCAAGTACCTACTAGCATCTACCTACTCGAAAAAAGATCGTTTCTATTCTTGTTTCCTTTAGACAACACTATCCTACTATTGAGAAATAGGTAGCACCGTTGTTGGAGTTGTAAGGGTCAATTTGAAAGGGACGTACGATCACTAAAGCAAAATTAAGACACCTTAGCAATAACCCTAGAGTCTTAAGATCATATTCGAGGCAATATTTCCGAGGCAACATTTCTAAGGCAACATTCGAATGGGACGTTTGATCTTTTTTAGACAGGAGGGCAACCACTAAGACACCCTATGCTTAATGGTTGTTTACCAAAGGTAACCTAAGTGAGAGTATACCCTAAGAGTGATATGTGCAAGTGATTTGTTTTCAGTTATTTATCTTTGCACATTAGGATTTTCTAACTGTATTAATTTGTCATGCATTCTGGCCATACAATCCTATTAGCATACATCTAGACAGTTTAAATATTTGCAGGAAAAAATGCGAGGAAATAAATCTACGCTATTACAAGGCTTCGGGGAGGGGGATTAATTACATAGCCAAAAATCTGGGAATTAAAACAGTAAATAAAACCCTAAATTAACTATTACAAACCATGAGCAGTTACAAAATATTGGCAAAAATAATAAACAAGTGCGTGATGAATTAAATACAAAACAACCAGGGTTTTGACCCTCGACTAAACCTATTTGTGATTGATTAAAAAAAAGATGTTTTGTCATGTTTTTGTTATTTAAGAAAATAATGAAATAATTAAAAAGAAAATCCTAAGTTCTAATTAATTTTAAATTAAGAAAAAATAAATTAATTCACTCTAAAATCTATTTTTGTATTTTTATTTATTTGAGAAAAAGTAAAGAATTAAATCAAGAATTTAACCTAATTTATATTTGATTTTATTTTTGAAAACAAATTAAAATTTCCCTAAGTTAAACTAAATTAAATTAAATTTGATAAATAAAAACTAATTCTAATTTTTTTGTGAATTCTTGACTTTATGATTTTTTATGAAAAATAATTAGTTTGTTAATTAAAATGATTAAAATAAAAATTAAAATAATTAAATAAAATAAAAAAAGAAATAAGAAAAGAGTAAATGGGCCTGGTAGCATTGCTGAAAAAGGGGGTGCCAATATGACTTATGGGCCCAAACAAATCCAAGCCTATTTGACTTCGATGATTCCCATGCAACATTGACTTTAAGGCGTATGGTGGGCCTTCAATGATGAGGCATTGGATCTGGCTAGCTGGTGAATCTGATGGATGAACTTGGATGGCCTATGGTGGACGTATAGGACAGCTTTGCACCTGGTCACATGATGAAAAATAATATGAAACAAAGGTTGGGACCCGGGGATCGAACCCAGACCCTTATATCCAATTCCAACGCTTGCTTGTCAACTGAGCCACGCGCTTTTGTTATTCACATAATGGAAGTAAAATAATATAATCAAAAACAAATAAAGTATTCAGAAAATGCGCGAAAATTCAAATGGACGAGTCACACGCTGCCACGCCTCATCTTCTTCCTCTCTCCGTCGCTTTAGCAAATCAGACTTTTACCTACAGACATTTGTTGTAGGTATATCCTTGTCCATCTCCAAAATTGCATATGCTCAAGATAAATGACAATGGCTGGTACCAATCAACTCGTCTCATCCTCACGAGCATCATGGTACCAGAATCAACGCCCAATTTTGCCTGCATTAAAAACCCCTAAATAAGAACACAAAACCCTAACTATGGCAATATCACGTACAGGCATCAAAATGCAATTAAACAGAATGATTAGCTTGCAAACACGATGATAAACATGAGTATAACAATCAAAAGTGCTAAAGATGTGTGAATTAGTGAAATCAGAATCAAGTTTTTGGGCAAACCGTGGGAGGCGTAGAGCACGATTATGGGCGTTTCAAGACCTGGGAGTGATTGGAATAGCTTCCTGGGATGTCTGGGAAGGGATTGGTGCTCTTGAAATGCTTTGAAACTCCTTGTAGATTGAAAACTAATTCCCACTTTTTCTTGAATTTTTCAGTTTTGTTCTTGGCTATGCACGACCTCTAACCTTCTCTTTTTGCTTTGTTTTTGTTCATTATATATCCCTCAATGAATTAGGGTTGCAAAACAGATCCAATCTTTAAGCTTTGATGATATTTGATTTGATTCTTTAGCCATATGATATCTTTCTAAATTTGGCCTAATCATGCTCTTTTTGTACCAATTGCCATTGATTCGAATTGATCTTGCAAGCTCAGCATATCTTGGTTGCTAACCTGTCAAAAAAACAAATCATATCATATCTTTGATAATTTTCATCATTTATTTGATTTAATTCACTTTTTAATCAATGAAAAATCAAGATAAATTGAAAAATGAAGAAAATAATTTGTGGATAAGTATTTGAGTTGTGGACCACATTATAATTGAGGTGCAAGCATAAAAAGTTGGGCCCATTTAGCAAAAAATGCAAATTTGAGCACATTTGACTTTTGACAATTTTGTAAAAATGGTCAACTTAACCAATGCATAACTCTCTCAATTTTGACCCTAGAGAGGTGTTCTTGGACTTTTTAGAAAGATTAGTATGTCTTCTAAGCAACCCTTTTGGTCTCATCTAAATTGAGTCTTCCATGTTCATGTATGAAGCTTTGACCCAAAATATGTTTTTGTTGACTTTTCAAAAGGACCTATAATGTCAAAATTCATATCTTCTTGTGAGTGCATATTCTGAACATGGGAGCTGAAGGTTAATTGTAGGGAATTGAATCTTATTCAAAATGAGCTTTGGATGGGTCATTTATGATAAAGCATGAGAAAGTTATGCTTGGTCAAAGTTGAGTTGACTTTTCCTACAAAACCCTAATTTAGCAACTTTTGAGTTTTGATGCATTGTGAGCAATCCTTGAGGAATCATGATCAACCCTTTATAAAATGATGAATAATACTTCAAAATGAGGATGTTGACCAAAAATCTTGAAGTTTGACTGTATGTGGGCCACAGTTGACTTTTGCCCTAGTATAGTTGATTTTCAGGCATTTGAGCAATTGACTGAACAAACTTCTTCTGCAAGGCTTGAAACTTGTCATGGATGATCTTGAGAACATATTAGGACAATGGGGAGCATTTGAGTCCTTTGGGTTCACACATCTTGATGAAGATGGAAACCCTAATTTAAGATAGACTGTCTTAGGAGAGAGTTTGTCTAGTCAACTCTTGAACTTCCTTGAGCAATTTAGGGACCTCACTTGCCATGTGTTGATAAATATGGGAGGGAAAATTTTAGGGTACAACACATTGTAATAGCGTAAGATTTATGATTCTCGCACTTTAAATTTCTGCAAAATATTAACTATTAGTAACTAGGCTTGTATGGAAAGACTAAAAACGAAATGCTAGCAAACTTAATAACAAAGATAAATGAACTGAACTAAATCACTTGCACATATACACCTCTAGGGTACGCCCACTTTGGTTGCCTTTAGGAAAGTAAAACAGTCATGTCCCTCGAAAATGGGGACGCATTAGCAAGACCCATAAATCAAAAGATCGTAGTCCCTCGATGATCCTACAATGTTGCCTTTCGGTAAATGATCTCGTCCCTTGAACAAAATTGTTAAAGTGTCTTCATATGTTGCCTTTATGACTGTACGTCCCTTCGAATGTCCCTCATACATCCAACGATAGGCATACTTACTCACTAATAGTAGGATAACACTGTCTAAAGGATAGGAGGAAAAGAATGAACCTTTTCGAGTATAAGTTGATAGTTTCTAGATGCTTGCTCAAAACAAACTTTTGCACCTACACAAAAACATTTCAAAAATACTTTAAAAAACATTCGCTTTGTCAACACTCTTGAAGACTGATACAAGAGTTATCATAAAGCGAATCGCCCCACTAAGGCATTTTCAAATACTTTTAAAAAACACAAAGCACGAGGTATTTAAAAAAATGAGCTAAGCATCTAAGAGTCCGTAGAAAACTACGGATGGAAAGAGTGCTAACACCTTCCCTTTTCATAATCTACCCCCTTACTCAGAAATAATCTCGAAAGGTCTTTTTCTGTTTTTTTCACCCTTTCATTTGTTGGATAAAAGAAAAGTCAGTGGCGACTCTTGCTTACCGCAACATTCATCATTCAAGTATTGAGTCAAAGTTGCTCAAGAATCGTTCAAAGCTTGGTTCAAAGTTGCCAAGGTTCTAAGCATGCAAAGTTGAAGTGGGATTTCATGGTATTCAAGGTTCAAGGTTTATTCATTGGTATCATTCATCAAAGTTCATCAAAATCCAAAGGTTCCAAACCATTTCATTCATGTTCCTTACAAAATGTTCATCCATTTATTCAAGTTCAAGAGTGATTCAAATATTAGTCAAAGTCTTATTCAAGTCCACTCATGTTCAAAGATTATATAAAAATAAGATATCATTCAAGTTTGATTTCAAGATTATTCCAAGTTCATCAAGAATTTGTTAAGGATTCAAGTCACTACAGTTCTATTCACGAAGAACTAGTTATAAGTACATGTCAGCCCAAATTGTTTCAAGATACATTGCATGTCATAGAAAATTACACAAAATTTTCCTAAAACCTAAAGTTAATCTTCAACCATTCTATCATCTTCATCATGACTCCATTCAAACCATGCCATCTGCCTGCTGCCATAACCAGACCAGTTGCCTTGCATCTGCCCAAATTTGCTGCACACGATATGCACCTGTTACTCACCATGTAAACACCATAAACCTGCCATGAATTCTCCATGCACATTAAAACACAATATCCAAAGCCAATAATCCAAATAATTCCTTGCATTTAAAATGAATCAATTCAGGAAAATGGATAAACAGATAACCCACATTATCATTATCCGGTTATTAAAACCAGTTCAAAATTTACAACTCATTGCAACTAACAGATCCTAACAACTAACTGTAACAGAATCCAAAACAGCATAACAGAATTCCAAAACTAACTATAAAATCTCTAACCAAGAAAATCAGAGAGAAGGGAGAGAAAAAAGAGGATTGATTTAGATACGATAACTCACCAAGAAAATTCTCGGTTCTCTCTCCGAAGAAACAGAGTCTCTGCTCCCTCTTCAAGGTCTTCGTTTTCATCCCTACTTTCTGTAACAATCATCCTCTTCTGCATAACAATCTTCATCACAACCTCACTGAAGGCATCGCGCGCATACACATCTTCATCGTTCGGTTTATAGCGGTGATTCTCGAAGCAATCGAAGCGAAGACAGAGCTATGAGGATCGCATGGTGTCGGATCCCGATCAAAAGTTGCAGACGACGGGTTCGCTTGTTTGTTCGCGACGTTGAAGTTCGGTAAGGGAGAAGGAGGGCATCGTGGAAGCCTGAGCGTCACAACTTCTTCAACTCTAAATAAGCCAAAACGCTGGTGCTTCGTTCTCTCTAATTTTTCATTGTTTGTTAGTTTTATTTATTTATAATAATAATCATGATAATATTAAAAGTAGGTAATGCTGAAACAAAATTGGTGATGGTGGATTGAGTTGGACCGAAAATGCTCTTTCCTTAGGCTCATGCACACGATTTTTAGAGCCTGGAGAGCTTAACAAAAAAAAGCTGATTATGGACTGGAATTAGCTTTTTCTTGCAGCACACACCCTGTATCCTGTTTAGAATTTTAATAGTTTTCCCTTTAATTTTTCGTTCATAATTTTGATGATAAAAATGCATGGATAAAAATAGTAGAAATATGCTAATTGATTTTATGTTTTTTTAGAATCTAATTAGAGCTTCTAAGGTTTATGTCATGATTAATTGTTTTGTCGCTACTTGTGCCATGATTTTTGGGTAGATTTTAGTGTCAATTTTGGTGTGAGAATTGTTGAAGAATTTCAAGAGGTTTAAAAGTAAATTAAGAGCGTAACCTTCATCAAGAAAATGTAAGGAGGTTTTTGGTAGAGTTTTCTTATTGTTTGCGCGGCTTTGAAGAGGCAACAAACCTTCTCCGTTATGTATCTCTTTGAATCTCAAGTTTATTCCTGTTTCACGCATCATGCTAGGCTTTTATTGATTGCTAGGAGCATATAGCGTAGTTGCATCTAAAGTCATATCACGAAGTAGACAATGTTTGATTGGAAGTCCTATCTTGAAGTAGGCAATTTCTAATTATTTGAATACCTACCTTGAAGTAGACAATTTCTGATTATTTGAAGACCTAACTTGAAATAGACAATTTCTGATTATTTGAAGACCTATCTTGAAGTAGGAAATTTCTGATTATTTGAAGACCTACCTTGAAGTAGGCAATTTCTGATTATTTGAAGATCTGCCTTGAAGTAGACAATGTTTGATTTGAAGACCTACCTTGAAGTAGGAAATTTCTGATTATCTGAAGTCCTACCACTGAAGTAGGCAATGCTTGATTTGAAGTCCTACCTCAAAGTAGGTAATGTTTCATTTGAAGTCCTACCTCGAAGTAGGCAATGTTTGAGTATTTGAAGTCCTACCTCAAATTAGGTAGTGGTTGTGCATTTAAAGTCCTCTTTATTTTAACTTTCATCTTTCATCTTTCTTCTTTTCAAGATCGTCATCTTCCTCCTCCTCAGATATTACCGACTCAGACTTATAAATTCCTTCTTTGGTGTCCTTGAGTATGTTTTTTGTAGATGCACCCGTACCATGAAAAGAAACATATTTTTTGATATTTTTTAGACAAGACCCATCAAAAGTAACATGTATTGACTCTTAAATAATAAGTAATCTCTTATTATATACTCTATAAGTTTTACTTGATTGAGAGTATCCAATGAAGATACCTTCATCAGCTTTCGCATCAAATTTTCTAAGGTTATCCTTACCGTTGTTTAAAATCAAACATTTGTATCTGAATACATGAAGATGTGATAAATTTGGTTTTTTACCTTTTAAAATTTCATATGGTGTTTTGTCTAATATAGGACGTATAAGTATCTTATTTAAGACATAACACACCATGCTAATAGCATCGACCCAAAAATATTTAGGTAGACAACTATCATTGAGCGTTACTCTTTTCAACTCATCTAAAACACAATTTTTACGCTCAGCAACACCATTTTGTTATAGAGTCCCAAGAGCTGAAAAGTTATGTTCAATATCATATTTATCACAATATTCCTGAAAGTGGTGGTTTTCAAATTCACCTCTACGATCGCTTCGAATAGCAATAATTTTTCAATTTAATTTGTTTTGGGATAACGTTACAAAACGTGTGAAAGCCAAAAATGTATCATCTTTACTATGCAAAAAGATGGTCCAACAAAATCTAGAGTAACCGTTTACAATAAAAAATCATAGTAGTTACCACCTAGTAATCATCTATAATAAAACAACCATAGTAGTTTCTTTTTGATACGCATCACTTAGGTCGCCTTTTGAAAATTTTATTTTAGGTAGATCGATTACTAAATATTTTGAAACCACTTTATTTAGTAAATCAAAGTTGACACGAGCTAACCGTATATGCCATAGCCATGAGTCGTCACTCACGGTAACAAGACACTTAGCATTGGTTAAAGATACATTATTCAAATCAAGCATATATATATATATATATATATATATATATATATATATATATATATATATATATATATATATATATATATATATATATATATATATATATATATATATATATATATATATATATATATATATATATATATATATATATATATATATATATATATATATATTACTCTCACATTATTAAACATGCAATCCTTATTTTCATTATGTACTATCATGCAATGAGTTTTTTTAAACGATGCTTTATATCCATTATTGCACAATTGACTAATGCTAAGAAGACTATGTTTAAGGCAAACATAACATCATAGGTAATAATAGATGAGGGATTACCTATACTACCTTTTCCAAGTATTGCACCTTTGTTGTTGTCTCCATAGGACACAAAATCCTTCTTCTTCACCACAAAGTCAGAGAATAAGGAAATGTCTCTCGTCATATGCCTTGAGCATCCACGATCGAGAATCCATCTTCTCTCCATAGATCCAAGACATTTAACCTACAAGATCTAACAAAGGTGATAGGACCCAATTTTTTATTGGTCCTTGAGAGTGAGTGAAATCATTGTTGCATTTGAGCAACCATTGAAAACATCTTTAGGAACCAAGAAACTCCTAAATTTTCATTTTTCAATGGTATGACCTTTTTTGCAACAATAGAGACAAGACGAATTACAAAGAGATTTACTTTTTCTATTTGAATCATTTTTTTAGAAAATATATACTTTTTATGTGGTTTATTCAAGGACTATTTAAGCTTTTAGATATCAATAATAATAATAACCTTTGGTTGCAATGTCTTGTTCAATTTGGTTTTAAGAGTTTTAGACTCTTTCTACCCAATGTGACGAGTTTCACAACCGCACCATGAAGGTTCTTCATCATCTTTCTTAATGTTTAGACTATCTACCGTAGATTGCTTTAGATCTTCCATTTTCTTTTTGGTTTCTAAAACTTTAACTTCTAAGTTTGAAAAAAAACCTTTTATGTGAAACTAACTTTGTAAAAGCATCTATTGCTTCTCTATGTAGATTTTCAAAAGCTAATTGTAACTCGAAATAAGACAACTTATCAACATGTTCATATTTAGAATGACTTACATTTTTTTTCTTCTTATGATGTTGATGGACCGAGAGACATACATTTATAACACCCTTCTAACCCCACATATATTTCCCATATGATTACAAAATTAACGCAATTAAAAACACCACTCAATGGTGTCACACTTTATAGAAAACAACATAAACACAATCATGCTCCGTAACACAGGTTATAATAAATTAACACATGCATCTGTCTATAATTCATCACATCATTTAGAAACATCACAACTGAATTCATCGTCATAATATGGTGAATAACTTCTCAAAACTCATACTTTTGTCTCATCCATTATTAAATCCATTTAACCGTCAAAACATCCATAAAATAAGTCAACATCCAAAGGAACATAACAGTCACATAATATAATGTTTCCAACCCGATGTTACATATCATAGTAAGACACCACTAATTAACGGAAGTAAACAACACACTCCGAAGCTATCCTCAAAGCTTCTACAAACTACTCCTAGTGGAGGAAATATTCAAACAAAAAGGGTGAGTAATCACAATTTATTATAAAAGATATAAGAAATAGATTAGTAGTTACAACAACATCATCATATAGTACCACTTATCATTCATCAACATCTGATACTCACAGATACATCACAATAACACTTAAACATCTTTTATCATAAAAATCATCATATGCTCATGTAGTCACAATTATCATCACGTCAAAACTCATCAACAAAATAATGCAATGTCACATAAGATATTAATGCAACACAACTGACTCAATGCATGTGGTACCAAAATTTATGAGGACTTGGTTCATCACCCTCCAAAGACCCCATCATAGGATCAATTACCTCTTAGAACCAGAGCATATCATAATCACACTCAATCTGCACAATGGGATTGAGGCTCGTCACAAGCGGACCACCGTACAAAAATGTTATGAATGCATGATGCACAACAATGTTATATAAAATTCGACCACGTCTAGTCAAGTGCATCATTATTCACATAATCATCACATATCATGTATTACACATTTATCACATGCACAACATTATAACATCTTCACAATATCATCTTCAATAGCACAACAACATCATAGAAACTTCATAACAACTTCATACCACATCATAGTAAAAAGAGAACATCATAGCATAATAACATATGACAATTAAAATTCATACAACATATAGGCACAAGAATACCACATCAATTAACTTATATTATTTCATCATATTATAGTTCATCACATCAGCTTCTCAGTGCTTCAAATGGTGCGTCAAACGGATTCCTGAAACTCAAGTTACGGCATTTTGACGATTGCTTCCAAAACTGCTCGCCGCTGCCTCGCCCGTTGCTCGCCAGGCGACGGGGCCCTCGCCGCTTCTTTCGCATGGCGACGCTGGAGAAACGCACAGGGTCGGTCCTTGAATTTGGGTGCCTTGGGCAAATAAAAAAAGTGGTGCCTCTATAATTTTTTTAACAATAAATACATAAGGATAAAAGAAATAATTGGATAAAAACACATTTTCATTTGACATTGTGCA